CTTCTGTGGTCCTCTCCTTCAGAAAGAAAATCTAGGAGGTTGCTGCATCCCTTTTCATGTGTTTGTATGGAGGAAGTGAAACTAGGGAAGGTTAAGGGGTACTGGGGGCTGCCTGCAGCTGGGCCAGTGCAGGCTGGGAGCCAGATTGAGGGCATCCGATTCCCAGTCCCGTCTCTTTCCCACTGAGCCACTCCGCCTCACTTTTAATTTAATTAGGAGAACATTTAATCCCCCCGTGCATTTCAGAGACGGGTTTGAGCCTGGCTGGGGCTGTGTGGGGCTCTGACAGGGATCCTGTGACTCATACAGCCTTGCACAGCCTTCCCGGGAGGGCTCCCATGGGGCTTCTTTGGCACCTTGTGCAGACAGAGGTGGTCTGGAGATTCACAGAAGACAGGACACTAGTCTGGAAAGACACACTGGTCTCATCTGTTCCTGACAAGCCCCCTTCCCTATCCTGCACACTGCCCCCAACACGGCCTCTCAGTCTTCTGCCATCAACATTTGTAGGTTGAAAAGCCAAGTAAGAGAAATGGGTGTCCACTGAGGTGCCACAGCAGGCCTTGATCATCTCCAGGCCCTGAACATCCCAGACAAAGCTCTCCCATCAGAAGAGCTAGCCCCATGGTCCACTAATGCCCCCCTTTCCAGAAGGCATAGGCTGGCCCCAGCCTCGCTGACAAATGCAGAATTCAGGAGACATTAGTAGTGATGTGGATGAAAGCCAGGCCACAGCGGGCCTCCCTGGAAAAGAGAAACTTGAACGTCTTGGCGTGAGATTCTGCAGGGTCCAGGAGAAAGTTGAAGACATGGAAATTCTAATTAACGCACATGGGGCTGGTTTTGCTCAAGGATTTTTGAAGCTGTCATGTCACAAGAGGCCCAGCAAGCACATGCTCGCCCGGGAGGTGCTTGTGGGCACCTGGTGGGACTTTTGCAATGCCCTAGCCTGTGCTCTTGTTTTCCCTCTGTCCTCTAGACTTTCCTCCACCCATCTTAGTGAATTGGGTGGCCTCTGAATGCTCCCACCCCACCCCCAGAGTGGGATGACAGGCTGGTTAGTAAATAAAAGTTGAGGCTGCCAGTCGAAAATGTCAGAACAGAAAAGTCAGAGGGGTCAGGAAACCAAACCTCTTGGAAGAAACTTTCAGGGAAACTGCATGACAGAGCCAGGCTGAACTGTAGGCTGCTGTGCTTATGGTAGGTAGGCTTGGCCTTTGGGGATGTTCATCTTGGGAATCCTTGTGCAACTGATGGGGCAAAGGTGTGGGTTCCGGACAAGTTCTGATTGGTTCATGAGCTGGAGCATAGGGTGAAGCAGCTGTAGGAAAAGCTCACTGAGGCCACACCCAGACATGCTTGTTTAGCTTTGAGCTATAGGTGCTCATACCCTGGGCTCAATGTCTCAACATCCATGGGAGGTACCTGGAGACCTTGCTTCATCTCAGGCAAGGCTAAGGATATGCTCTGTGCCAGAGTAGAAGTGGCAGTCTTAGGGTTCTTTCATCCTAGAATTTTGGGAGTGCTGGAAAAGGAGTGACCATAAGGAGCCATGGACAATCTGTTCCCTACCAGACCCAGGCTAGACTCGGGGAGCTGTTACTTGGGGCCTTGATGATACCTTCAAAAAGATGTGAGAGGCATCCCAGGGGAAAAGGAAGACCAAGTATACTGGAAACGCGTACAACTTTGATGGCTACAGGAGTGAGAAGGGCATTCCAGCTGGTGGGATACACATAAGCCCTTGCCCTTACATCCAGCAAGCAGAATCCTAGGGAGTTAGCCTAAATTTTGGGTGTAAGGATACCCCCATATCTTGTGGCAGTTTCTCCACATGTTAGCAAAGGACCCTCAGAAACCTGGAGTAAGGCTTTGGGGTAGAGGATTCATGTTGAGAGAGCTTGAGCAGTACAGGGCTCCCTTAAGAAATTATGTTAGAGCTAGAAAGATAGCATATAACTGAAATGTTTGCAAAGCTGAGGTCCAGCTGCCCAGAGCTGGATAAAGCCTGGGGCTTACATGAAGAGCTGCTGGTGCTTGCCTATTGAGCTGGAGTCAGAGACACCTTGTCTCCTCAGCACCCTTCCCTGTTTTTCCATAGCTCTCTAGTTTTCCATAGGCCTGCATCTTGGCCTCTCTGTCCCCAAATTATCAGTGGCCAACAGACTCTGAAAAGAGGAGCTTCACCCAGCCCCAGGGACCTTCCCATAATCAAGGCTACAAGTGACCTCACCTCCCTGGGGCCCCTGGGCGGGGAAAGCTTGAGATGGAAACAAAATGTGTCTTTATTTATGCTTTTAATTTGAATTCTGGAACTGGCCCAGCATGGTAATACATTTAACATCAGTAAAATGCTGAAGAAAAATGGATCTGTTTTTCTACAACTGCCTCCCACCCACTCTGCCCCCTGCAAGACCCAAGTACACATCTCTGTCCTTGGTAGACACGTACCAGGGTGTGTGCCTCTTTTTTTTTTTTTTTTTTCAGTGTAGGTTCATAGGGCCAGTTGCCCACAGGAGCCATGCTGCATCACTGAGCTGCTGGAGCCTAGCTTAATTACACACATCAATCAACAGGCTGACTGTGCAAGAGGCAAAGGAATGTAGCCTTGGTGTGGGCACGTGGGCCCCTTACACAGTACCCACATTGGCCTGTCTGCTCCCCCAGGATGGGGAGGGGTCTTGGTAAGGCCAGTAGTCCTGGGAGCGCATAGGGTTCTAGGACCCAGACACACACCATGCCTTTGGTCATTGTCTTTGCTAGGACTTCCAGCAAGGAAGTCCTTGACTTCTGAGGTGTGTATCCAGATTCCTCGATGCCTCAACCCTGACCCCTTTGACCAGATCATATCTTTTTGCTCAAGCCTATGATCTTTCTCAGTCTCGACCTTTGGTCTTTCAACTCGGCACCACCATGGACTCCTTTCCTACCTTCCCACTTCCCAGGTTGGCTTATTCCCAGCTGTTGCGTTTGGAAGAACATGTCCTAGAAAAGGGTCTTGGTGTGTTCCTGGGTGGAGATTTGACTGGATGAAGAGTGTCCACCTCCCACTCAGAGAGGCTCCAGGAGTGCTAGCCTGAAAAGAGCTGTGGTACCAGGAAAGATGGTGACACATGAGGCCTATAGCAGCTAAGAAAGTATCATTCACGTTCCTGAGACTCTGTTACCTCAGAGTGGAGATCAGAATTGGCCTAGTACTCTAAGCAATGTTGTCTTACTGGCATAGGGCTGCTTCTTGAACAGATGACAGTGAATATCTGGCTCCAGGAGCTTTGAGTCTACTAGTAACAGTGCAGGAGACCTTTTGCCCCCCCCCATGGGGTCAGCTATAGACTGAACTATGGGCAGGTATACCCAGTCTCCACCCTCTCTTGGGACTCCGCTGGTGCTTTCTTTCAGGAGCCTCACACTGCCCTGGAGATGTCAGACATGTTTGTCCATTGTTGAGAGCATTGCCGTCCTCTTGATTCAACTGCTTTTGTGTCTGGAGGCTACTCCATGGCTATAAGAATAAAATGGAATGGGTGCCAGCAAGAGGTGAGTGATCAGGAGGATAAGAAGGCTGAGTGGCCTTTCTAGGCTTACGTAATTCCTGGGGCCTTTTATGGTTGCCATGGTGCTACTTACCATCCCTGTTTCTAAGCAGGCAATGTTATATTGCATACAACACCAGCCACAAGACACCAGTGTTTACACTTCGAGTTTTCTTGTGCCCTGGACTTGATTGAGAGCCTTAACCATAGTGTAAGCTATTGTTATTCCCACTGACAGCCTATACCTGCCCAGCCTGTCTGGACTTCTGCCCACACCTCTGTTCCTGCCTGCTAATGCAGCCCACCTGTAAGGCTTAGGAGGGAGAATGACGAGGGAGAATGACCCCTGCTTTTCAATAACTTGTTGGCTCTCTCTGAGCCTATGAACATTCTCACATCTTACAAACCATGAGATACTGGTAACCTCCCTTTGAGTTTGGGTGGCCTGGGAAGATAGTGGGTATGGCTTGGTGGATCATAATCATCCCTCTGACAAGCCTTCCTTTCCCCAGGGTGGCTGTATGGTTACTTAAGAAGCCCTTAGCACTGCGAGTCCCGGTTTCTTCAGTCATTGCAAAGTCAAACCTGCACCAGGAGGATGGTAAAGACAAGAAATCTTGGCATAGTCCAGAAGCATTATGACCAAGCACACAAGGCTAAGGACATGAATTTTAGTAGAAAGAATGAAAGAGTCCTAGTATGTGAATCCCAGGAGGGCTAAGAGTATGGCATTAACATCCCAATACAAAGACACTTTTCCAGAGGAGTGCCCAAGTAGGGTAGTGGTCAGAAGGGGCCTGAGTGTCCTGTCTCTCATATGGCTACCTCTACTGGTCTTTGGTGGGAACATTTGAATCACATGTTGCAGAGAAATCGCACCATGGCTGGGTACTGGGGATTGGCCTGGTGATGCTGTGATGGGGACCCAAACGGGGAGAGGATGGGCATGTGTCCCAGGCCAGCTGTGCCTTGGAGGGTGGGGGGGAAGGCCAACTGGAAGGCGTGGAAAATCAGCCATTTCCTCCACCTGAAGGCGCCCCTGAGGACAGTAGCAGCAACTGGCAGACAGCACCCGGCATCTGCCCCGTGGCTTTGGCCAAAGTTCCATGGGGAAATGCTAAAAAACAAAGTTGACTCTTTTGAAGGAGTGGTGGTGGGGGCTAGGGGAGAGAAAAACAATTTTCTCAGACGCTCAAAGCATGAAAACAAGTGGAAAATGATCAGTCTGGTTTTCCATAAGTCAAAACAAGAGGATCATGTTTCCAGATTCGGTGGGAAAGCCCCTGCCCTCTTCTCCTGCATGAGCCCTGAGGCAGCCCCAGCAGCCAGCTGCCCCAGGTTCATAAGGCTAGGCAGTGAGTTCTGGGTCCTGACTAAACAGACTGCATCCCAGCAAGAGGATGAGCTTTGTCCTATGCCAAGGCAGTTCCCTTGAGCCCCAGCCTTTGTAGGCAAATGGACACTCACTGTGACACATGGGTGATGGGGGTCAGCAGTGTCTCCCCTTCCAGGTCCAGGTCCTCAGCAAAGCTGTTTGTTCTCAAGAAATGGGGTGTGCTTACTTCCAGCAGTGTAGGGCTCTTCCTTACTGTGAAGAAGGTATGGGGACAGCTCATTAGGCTTCAGTAGAAACTTGATCATGAAAGGGGCTCCAGAGCTGAACAGAACCAGACTCACATGCCCACCCCAACCTGCTATTGCTATGGGATAAACCTGTGAGTTCTCAAGGTCAGGTGAAAAATGCGGACAAAGTTTGAAGTCTTGGCCTCATCCATCAGGTTTACACTGAGCGGAGTGTAACAGGTGACTATGTGTTCAGAATGGTCCCCAGGTATCTAGGGCCTCAACAACCCAGCTTAAACGATAAATGCTAGTAATTCTCCTCAGTGTGGCAACTGCCCTGGAGCTGAGTTCTGGAGCTGAGGACCTGCCCTACCGTAGGTTCTGTTCTGAGCCTTTCACCAGCTTCACACAAAACATTTGAGCCAAGAACAAATGGAAGCACTGACTCACAGTTCTGTGCTATTCACAAACAGACACTGACAGATCAGTGGGCCAGGGCAACAAAGGGTGCTAGTACCTCTGCTTGTCAGCAATCCCAGGCTGAGTTTCTTGCTCTGGCCATGATGCTACATGACCCAGGCATTCTCTGAGGAAGGCCTCCAAACTGTCCCAACAACTGATTTCATATAGCTCAGGAGACAGATCCAGATCCGCCTTCACAGTGTTTCCAGCTTACTAGTGTTTGCTCTGAACTCACTTTTCATTTAAAGTGTTTAATGTAGAGGGAATGAGTACTTCTGATGAGTGGAATAATGCAAAAGTTACAGTGGTCCTCAATTACAGGTGTCACCTACCAGGCAGGTCTCTGGCTCTTGCCTGACTTTTCCATCACGAGTAACACATACGTTATAAGCTTGAGTGAACCTCTGTTCTTGTCAGTTTTTCTTACTCCCTGACCTTCTTTTCTCCAGGTATGCAGTTGTGCATCTAGTGATCATTTTAGCAGCATAATAGCCCATAGTTTAGATCTTCCACAGTTAACTTACTCATCCTATATTTTATGGACATTCACTCTTGTAATTTTATGACAATCAGAGAGTGAAGTAACATCCATCTTCACTGTTAAAATCTGCTCACCCACTGGGTCAGTCAGATGGTGTGTCTTTGGTAGTATTAATAAGTGCCTTTGGATTGTTTCGTAAGTTGTAGCAACTGTTCTTCCCTTCCAACTTTGCTTGGCTCATCAAACATAGAAAAAAGCTGAGGTTTTTTTTCATTTTAAAAATTATTATTCTTTGAGAATTTCATGCAATTAATTTTGAACACATTCACCCTTTTCCCTTCCAGGTCCATCCCCATTTACCGCCTAACTCCCCTTTTGACTTTGTAACCTCTCGTTTTAAAGTTTAATAATGATCAATTTCATCTTGTGCTGTCCATATACTTATGGGTGAGGAGCCATTCCCTGGAGTATGGTTGACCCACCAGGGGCTAGAGTGTTAAAGAAAAAACTGACTCTCCCTCCCCAGGAGCCATTAACCGTCTATAGCTTATCAAGACCCTTCTGGCGTTCATGAACTTATTCCTACTCAGGTATAGACTGTTGACTGGCTTGATCCTGAGTAGCCAATCATACAACTGTCCTGCCATGGCCAGAAGTTAGTTTTATTCTAGTCCTCTTCTATCTCTGGCTCTTATACTCTCTCTTCTCCTTCTTCTACAATGGTCCTGGGTCTCGGGGAAGAGATGGTTTTCTCATTTTCATCTTCACTGACTGCTTTTGGGCTTGTTTGGGATTCTTCTTGAAGAATTGCCTGTTCATAGTCTTTGCTTGGCATTTAAGAGGAACTTTTAATTCATTAGAATTGTGTTACATGAAGCATAAATATCTTTCTTAGTGTACATTTGGCCTTTTAACACTGTGTTGCTTTATCATAGAGACTGTCTTGTTTTTTACAGTGATACATTTTCTTTATGAAATGGGTTTCTTCCTACATCTACTACAGCAGTCTTTTACATTTATTTCCAATATAAACATACAAATGTGGACATACATCTGTATGTGTGTTTAAATTTTAACACATTTCATATTTATGCATAAAGCAAGGTATGTTTAGCAGTCATAAAATGTAAATTCAAGAAACTATGTGTAGTCATACTTTTTAAAAATCTGAAGTAGAACATAAAACTAAAAATTTAAGAAAACATAAAAATCTCTACAACTTTAGATTTGGAATTGCATTGAGATACAACACCGAAAATTTAACCTGAAGGAGGAAAAAGATCAACTTTATTATCATTCAAAACAAATGAATTACTCCTGCAACAAGTGCATTTTGCCAAGGAGCAAGAGAAGCAAGGAGTAACCGACTTCATTACTGTTAAAATCCTTTGCTTTGTGAAAACAATGAGACAAAGCACAGATTTACTGCAAATCACTTATGGAATCAAGGACTTTGTACCCAGAGCATATAAAGAAGAATGATCATAATTTGACAACAATGAAGCAAACAACCCATCTTAAAAAGTGGATTACAAATAAGTATGTGAAATTGTGCTTCACCAAAGTCCATGGTCTTTACAGAAATAAAAATTAAAGCTACAGTGAGATAACATAGAAAAGTATCATGAAAATGGATAAAACACAAAATTAAGATCTTATAACAGCAAGTGCTCAAAAGAGGCAGAATGATTGCAGCCCTTGCATGCTGCTGGCTGGAATGGAAAGTGGCATAGCTGCTCTGAAGAACAAATTTCATAGTCTCCATACATATGGAATAGGACCCCAGTGTATGGAATATTTATGTTCATAAAAGCTTGCACACAAATATATAGCAATTTCACCTCTAGTTGCAGCAAACAAGTAACAATCAAGATGTCGTTTCAACAGCTAAATGAATAAACAAATCATGGTTTATCTGTTCCACCCATGCAATGGAATAATATTCAGCAATCAACCAGAATATTGAAGGTCCCTGCGATAGAAAACAGACCACAGTAAGTAGATTGTGTGTTGCACATACATGACACAGCACTGGAAAGAGAAGGGGGAAAAGAACTGGCCTAAGTTGCTTTTAAAAAAAAAGTGTTTGGACTGGATACTAAAAAACTAAAGAAAAAAAATACTGTCAAATATACAATGTTTCTGTAGGTAAGTTCGTTTCATACAGGGGTACTACATATACAAACCAGTGACTAGATTAGAAAATGGAAGCTGAGGACATAGTAAGGACAAACTACAGACAAACATACATAAACATACATATACAGACAAACATAACATACATAGTACAGACAAACATACAGAAACAGTATGAACTCAGGGTTAGCTGCATATAGATACATACAACAAAACATGAATGTGTATGGACATAAATTATTTCGTAGTTCTGCCAGTTGAAGGGAGATATAAACAGTGATTCTTTTGTTCCAAGGAACACATTCAGTGCCCCAATCATATTTTATAACACTATTAGTTCTCCAATAAAAGCAAATATGAGTCTTTACCAGAATGGACACAGGGAAACTACAAGAAACTACTACTGAAAGGAAGTAAATGGAATGCATATCAAAGGGCTCATGTACAAGTGGCCAAAGATAAAAAAAAGTTGAGTGAGAAGACAATAACACTCAATTATACCTCAAAAACACAATTTGCCAAGTCCATATTTATAAACAAATAATTGAAAAAGAGATGAAGAGCTTTCTTATAAAACGATTCCTATAAGTGTAGAAGGAATGAGTTAACCAGAGGTATACCATAGAAATGCTTGCTTCAGAAAAGATCCATGGATGAATGCTAAAATTAGTACGTGAAATCTTAAGTAGGAACTTCAAAGTCTTCACTTCCCATATTTCTTTTCAGTGACATTGATTGAATCCAGGGCCTCGTGCATGCTAGACAAGCATTCTGCCACTAAGCTACATCCTTAGTCCCAAAATAAATTTTAATTGCTTTAGTGATTTTAACACACTCACAGAGTCTCTGATACTCTCCTGCAGGAGATAGAATGAAATTCCTCATTCCCTGAATGCTGGCTGGACTGGTGACTTGCTCTTTTTTACTAGGCGTAATAAATGAGAAGCTTTAGGTAAGTTACAGTGAACTACTTAGGCACATAGTCAAAGTTAATACAGCTAGCAGTAGACCATGCTGATGGAAGAAAACAAGAAAAGCACTTTGCTAATGACACTCACCAAACCTATAACCCTATTCTCATTTTGGAAAAACCTTAGGCAGACCCAAGACCCAGTGTAGCACTGAAATATGAGTATTTTTCAAAAGCATGAAGGCCAGTAACAGTACTGAGAAGCTGCTGCTGCATGTCACAAGGTACTAAGGACAGGATAAAAGATTATAATGGGGAGAGGGAGGGTAGGACCAGGAGGGGAGGAGGGATGGGCTTATGGGGGGGATACAAAGTGAATAAAGTGTAATTAATAAAAAAAAATATTATAATGGTAGATGATGGACAGGCCCTTGGAACATGTAGTAGTTAAACTGGGAAATAACTAAACTATAGCTCATCAGTGTTATATGAATGATGATTTTTTTTTCTTTTGTCAATGTAATATAGTTATGTAAGGTAGTATAGTGAAAGTTACATGGTAAAACTATTTTTACTTTTACAAGTATATATAATATATATATGCAAATAAAACACAAATTAAAAGTTTAAAGAAGAGTAGTAGGAAAGAATCTTAAGTATATAAAGATAGATTAAAAACTGAAGAAAAGCACAGAACTTTAAACAGAGACACTGACAAACAAACAAACAAACAAACAAAAAAAACACCTTTATTCCATTGACAAAATACTCGATCCTGAAAAAAAATTCTTCCTAAATCTTAATGAAAATCATAATGTTTGTGTATGAATACTGTGACAAGTGGATTCTAAATTTTATTTGGAAGTATAAAAGACCAGGAAAAGTAATATTGTTTAAGAACAGGCTAGTTAATTTGCTTACCAAATACAAAGTACTTCTAAATAGTGGTCATTAATATCGGTATAGTACTGATTCAAGGTATGTAACTGGCTAGTGGCATAGGGCTGGATGTCAGAAAATAGCCCTACTCATGGAT